TTATTATGAAGATGGTTGCCAGAAGAATGGTTATATGCATGGTTGCCAGAGTTTGGCAGCTTCTACTACGGTGGTTGTGTTAGTATGTAAGTACTGATTTCCTTCCAGATTTTAAATCTGGTGAACCTAAAATTCTTATTATGTGCAACTCATTAATTTACACACAATGCAATATTTAATATTATATTAATATGCAACTAATATAGGCAACTTTTGAACATATATTATATTAACATAATTTTCAATAATTTAGTGTTCAGCAGCATGCCCTTTACAAAAATTCAAGATATGTTTCTGTATTTGAGACTTTTCCAAAGACAAATTATTTTTTCAGCTGTTTCCTGCATTAGAAAAAAGATGAAAGTGCAAAAATGACTCTGAAGCATCATCCAGAATGCTTTTGTTAACCCTCTGACAGCTCAATTTGTGGACCGAAATCGTTTCCAAAATTGCGTATTTTTTTTTTCCATATTTTAAATCTATATATATTGGAGAATTGAAAAATGCACTTCCCCCCCTAGAAAATATTTTTTATATAGATTTTTATCATAAGAAACTAAGTTGCCAAAAAAAAAAAAAAAAAAAAAAAAAAAAAAAAAAAAAAACAGTAGAATTGCAGTTAATTTCCATTTATTGCATAATATAAAAAATTAAAATGATTAAAATGTATAAAATTTAAGAAAATCCAAAGCGCTGAGTGAAAAATACCTTAGACATGCAGTTTACTATGATAGAGTTCAAAACAGGGTTCAAGGCAAAGTCCAACTTCACAGTCTTTGCACCAGATTCAATAAATATAATTAATAATCAATCTACTTATTAATCTCATCAATAAATCTAATTAATAATTCAATAATTTAATTAAATAATCAAGATAATCGCTGAACGTTTTCTAGCAGCCATTTCTGTAAGAAAAAGGTGGCACTACTAACAATATCTGTTGGCCAAAACATAAACTAAACGCCTAATACTGTATATAATTTATTTCAATGGTTAAATGGGGAAAAAACGGGATGTGCTCCTCAATAAAGGAAGAAAAACATATGCCCGCGGAAATCGCGGGATGAGAAAATTTTGCTACATTTGAGCTGCCAGTGGAAATCGCAGGATGATCAGCCCAAGGGTTAAACAGATTTTACTCGAGGTTAACTGAGGGTTACGTACAGCCAGGACCGGTGATACACTTTTTGCTATCTCGTGCAAACTTTGCTACTCTGAAATTGTGCCACCTGCTTTCTTCCTAAACAGTAAATATTTTGTCACCCCTAAATCATGCTGCCTGGTGCAGCCGCATGAATTGCACTGGCTCTACTGCCTGCATACAGCTAGTTATTCTTAGTGCAGTATTGTGGCAGAAACATGTTATAATGCGCTAACTATAGCTTAAATTTGAGGATAATAGCTAGAAGAAAGAAATGTGGTGTACAAATGATATGGGGGTTGGAGAACCGAGATGAATACCAGAAAAAAAAAAAAGAAGCATCTGATGTCATGCATCAGCAACATCATTGCTCCAGCTCATAACAATCTGCAGATCATATATATCTGTGGCATGCTGTCAATGGACTAGATGGACTAGGCTAAATTTATGCATTAACACTTTCAAGTAATTTTATCTAATATCCAAAAGTACTAAAACAAACATAATTTTATCCCTTTTGAAACAGTGTGCCATTTGAGTGTAGTTCACTTTTTGTTCAAAAGAGAGGAGCCCAAATTGCACTGGCTTTATGCCAGGAAAGGCTAGATTAAGGACACCTACTCCTATATATAAATATAGTTTTAACTACAGTCAATAGGACATACGGAATTTTAATTTTCTTGCGATTCTTGTAATTATAGTTAAATTTTAATGCTATATCTTAGTTCACCTTTATGAAAGCATTGTTATGGTATGTGAAAGAGTTCAAATTACAGTAATTCCAAGTTTTGGAGAGAGAAGAGTGTAGAATAAATTAGTCTGCAGGCAAGAGATCATGCACCAGCAAACTCTGAAGCCATTTTATGATAACATGCTCACCATCTGTCACTGTCACAACCATGGAAGTAGAATTATATTTCTGCCACTACCCTGTGTTTTCATTGTTTGCCTGTTGTATTTTTTGGGATAATGTATTTTCAAAAGATACAAAAATGATGATAAAATGTAGATCTACTCTACATGCTCTGATTTGTACAAGCATCAAACATTATGCTTGTTACTTCAAAATGGAATATTATATAATTTCAATATTTTTAATAATGAATTTACGATATAATCTGTTTTGATGACCTTGCACTTCTGAGAAAATATTTGTAACTAATTATGTATTATGAGATTCACCTGATAAAAAAATATTTATTTATTATCGTATGATCATGACTTCAACTTAATCTTACTTTTATAAATTTATTAGAGCATATTAACCGTTATTGTATTAGTTTTTGTAGAGTTCTATATAAAATCTGTCATGTCTCTGTATAACTATAAACTCTCTCATGACGATCACCAATATTTTCGAATGACGATCACCAAAGGTGACCAATATTTCCGAAATCATAAATAAACACTGATACTAAATTTCACCTTTCTAAGATGACTACCATCATTGTCTGTGGGCAGTCATCTGGCAGAGGATTATGATTTTTTTCATACTCAGTTCTCTTTTGTAAAAACCACAGCATGCCACTATAAATGCTCCAGTATTGGCAGAAATAACACACCATCAATTTGCTAAAGCAGTCCTGCAAACAAGCTGCCTTTTGTGAATATAGTTACTAATAGTGAACCATTACAATGAATGCTTGCAATGGAGTTATACCAAAGCTACCTTAGCTGAAACGTAGTACACAGTTTTATTTAGAGTTAATCTTGTTTCTGTATTGATGGTCACCAATTAAGGATGTAAGTCCCAGCTTTCTAACTAGGTTGATTTTTCTATCATTATCAAAAGTCAGAGAGCTCATGAATATAGAATCATAGTTTAAAATGTATTCAGAATCAATAGCTGCCAGTCGCAATAGCAACATATTCACATGCTGAGTATTCCAGCCTGTTGTGCAATCATATTTTCCTGGCATATCAATTGACATAATTCACAACTATACACAACAAACACTGGCAGATATCCTTCACAAAATGTACAGAAGACTCCTTGGGCCAATATAATTTTGAGATTTCTCATCCACTGGGAATCTGAAGAAAGTGTCTTGTGATAGTAAATGCTTTCTCACTGGTTTGCAGGCACTGGTAATTCTGTTTGAAATTAAAATACCCCCCCCAGAACAGAGTTTATGTTATGTACAAGAATTACAGTCTAAGACAATGGTTCTCACTACGATGTTCATTTTGCATCATATAGGCAGCCAGTCACCTTACAGGCACCATTTGAAAAATTTTTCATCATGTTGCATTTTTTTTCTGTAAAGTATCATAAATACACTCACTTCCAAAAGTTAAGCACGAAGATATTAAACGAAAAAAAAAATACTGCTTTGATTGACACAAACTTTGGCAGGAAAGTAGCATATATATTTATGCATAAAACAAAATCAATAATTATATACAGAAATGAAAACAATATTAAATTTTTGTAAGTTATCAGATAATAACATACTGGAGACTTAAACAGAATTATGTATAAAGTGAAAATAAACAGCATAAAATGAAAACAAAAAGACAATTAATAGGGTATGGGATCCCCTCCTCTCATCTGTATACAAAGTTTACAACTTGTGGCCATGCTTTCAATTAGGTGGTCAGCCACCGCAGAATTAAGCAATCGTCATTCTTCTTGTAGAGCAGCTCAATGAGAGTGGCTGTAGTTTGGAAACATGAAGATACAGCATGGCTGAGAATATCCCAAAGATTTTCAATGGGATTAAGGTCAGGTGAATATGCTGGCCACGCCATACGCGCAATCCCTTCACTCTCCAGGTAGTCATCGATGATGTCAGCTCTATGGGGATATGCGTTATCGTCCATTAAAACAAAAATTGGGGCAACTGCTGCAGCGTAAAATATCACAATGGGTTCTAGGACTTCATCTCGATGCTAGAAAGCCATCAAAGAATCCCATTTAAAGATATGCAGGTCGGTGCGGTATCCTAATGAAATCCCTGCCCGCAACATAATGCTTCCGCCTCGGAATGCGTGATGTTCAGTGATGTTTTGGGACTGATTGTGTGTTCGTTGTCAAGCCATATCCTTATACGCTTGTCATCTGGCTCCAGAGCAAATCTTGACTCATCAGTAAACATGACATTGCCCCAGTCAGACACATTCCAACTGACATGTTCCCGGCACCACTATAATCATGCCCCTCTTGATTGGACAAATAGAGGAACACAAACTCGAGGTACCCGGGCATACAGTCTACTCATATGTAATCTTCGACGTACAGTAGCTGCAGATATTGCCTTACCAATGGATGCTGTAACCATAGATGTCACAGGTGTGGAGGTCGCTCTGTGATTCCGCTTGCTTACAATAGCAATATATCAATCTTCCGCTGGGGGTTGTAAACCCTTAGGTGACCGGCTATGGGCCTTCAGATGTCTGTGTAGTTTGGAATTGTTTCCCTAAACGTGAAATTACAGAATGATGAACGGCGAAGAAAAGAGCAACATCTGTGATCGACTGTCCTGCTTCAATGCGCCCCACACCACGCCAGCGCTCAGAATCTTCCATTCGTCTTCTGGAAGTCATAGAAACACGTATGTCTTTAAAACAAATTGTATGAAAGTTTTAAAGACCTTCTATCAGTACTTACAATCAACTTCTGTAACACTTCATAAAACCGGCTTCTTATAAGACTGCCTTTTTTGCATATTTCTTGACATGAAAGCACAACTGGCTGTTACATAACATACTTGCATACTTCCATCTACCTCTGCAGCGAATTGCATCTTCTTCAACTCTGACTAGCTTCCGGAAATTAGCATTTTCCTCTCCGTGCTTAACTTTTGGAAGTGAGTGTACATTATGAAAATTCAGAGAATACATTTATTTCAGTACTTACCTATCAATATCATGATCAACACTGTATTCAAACTTCAGTTGACTTGAGCTGTAATATCGAATCTCTGTGTAGACAAGTACTATGATCATGATGAAACTTAAAATAGAAACTGCAAAATATAAGAACACATAAAAAAGTGGATGTAGGAAATTATTACAAAAATAATTTATGGAGTGCCAAAATATAAAATCATCAACAAATATAAAAAATGACATTGAATATATTCAGCAATAATCTCATTACAGATAAAGTTTATATAAGCTGATTCATAATTCCCTTGGGCTTTAGAAAATTGATAATACAATAACTATACCAAATATAAAAAAATATTAATGTATAAAAAAATCTCTCCAAGCTTAATACACATTGTACTCAATGTCAATTGCCCAATATGTACTCTAGTGGTTATGCAGCAGACTTCAATTCTGTATTTAAGCTCCTGTCATGCTTGTTTTAACATGTCATGACTGTTAGCAGTGACTGCATGGATGATCATAGTTATCCTAAATTAAGTGTCTAAGAAGATTACAACCTTTATTACAATCCCCCATAAAAAAAATCTACACCTGACACAGAAAACAACAAGGACATTTAATCTGATAACTAGAAAGTTCTGATCAATGTAAGTACAATAAACCCTTGCCAAATGCAGACCTCCGGAACATGATCATGCATACATGCAATATCTTCATTTAATTTGTCCAACATGAGAATTTCAATTATACAAGGTATGCTGCATAGCGTCAACCACACTGGAATAGCCCTCTTTAATGACAGGTAATTCATTCATTAAAGAAGTCAAACATTGCTTAGAACAGCAAAACCTGGTTTCAGAGTTTTGCAATAATGCTTCAGAACATGGTACTGCAAGCCTCTTAACACTGCATCCAAATATACAGGCTTTATTCTTTCCACTAAACACCACTTCCTTAATCCAACCAATGGATCAAAGAATCAATAAAATATTCATGTGAGGCATGTTTATGTTTCTGCAAATAAAGCATTAAATGAAAGACAGCATGACTCACTAATGGCATTTTGGAAGCATTTCAACATAAGACACTGCACAGAAATGATTAAACTTGCATGAGAACAAGTGAATTCTCAACAATGAAGAATGAAAGCTTGCTGGCCATAAGCTGTCAAAAATTTTAAAGGATTTGTATCACCGAAATTGAAGCTAAGGAAATCGTATAAATTGCAAAAGCAAGAGGTGTTGAAGGACTTTCAGATATGGAAGAAGAAATTAAAGAATTTCTTGAGAATGAATGATTGTGAAATCACAAATTAAGAAATGAATGATCTTATAATACCAGCCATTGGTGAAAGCAGGGATACTGAAAAAGATAAAGAGCCTTTAACATACAAGAATTTAAATGAATATTAAAAAAGGCATAGGAACTATTTGATATTATAATGAAGACAGAAGAGGATACTATGAAAGTTACTGAAAAACTCTGCACTTCTTACTGTGAAAACATTTAATAAGTTGCTTCAGATACTGTCCCAAGTAAAAATCACCTTTATTCAACAAAAAAATAATAACTATATCATGTACCTACTTATTAAGCATTAATAGAAATCCTTTCAATTAACACTTGCTTCATCTATCCCTTTTAATTACAATAATATTTACTGTTGGTATAAATTATAAATTCTTTCTTCTGAATTCACTTAACCCCTTTTTTTGATAGAAAGCTAACTTTGAGGAATGTGATTCTGTTATATGTGCAATGTGTTAGTGACATAACCCCAACATTCAGCAAGGGTTTACCTCTGCTTGAGTATAAATGCCCTCTTGGAAATGTGAAGTTTCTTACTGCTAAAAAATTAAATTCTTAACTGTCTTCTCGTAATTGTCAAATAAGTCACTGTTGAGATATGGTTAGGTACACTAGATCCACAATAGTTTGCTCTATAACGAAAAATAGCCCATAGACTCTTGATGAAGAAATAGAACAAAATGTTCACCTTATAAAATCACATAAAACATGGCCTCATCAGTAAGAATTGTTTTCCATCTCACTGGTGCCTTGTTTGTTTTGTATCACACACATAGCCAATCTCCACCATTTGGCTATATGATGCACAAATTATATTGTTTGTAGGTGTTTATATTAGATATTTCTAGCTGTTATATAATAACAATCATTTCACATTTAGAAATTCTAAGAGGCAGCACTTTTTATGCTCACCAGTGGACTGGAGTTCGTAATAACATAGCACACTAGGGCTACCTGCCTATGGAGATGAATGCCTGTGTTCCATGGAATACTTGTTCATATTCACATCATACATATGGAAAGCTTTCACGTTTTGTCAGGACCTGCATACCAGGTCTGTGGAGTCGGAATTGGAGTCGGGTAGATTTTGGGGTAAAAGGATTCACAAAAGCAAGTCGACTCTGATTCCAGTTTTTGTTGGATAGTTTGAATTTGAAATGATATTAAAATGAATTGGAAAAAAAAAAAAAAAATGACAAGCTGAGTTATTATTTTTATTTATGGACTGTATACATTACTAAATAGTTATTTTCTATTTTATTGACATATTAATAAATAAATATAAGGGAGGAGGATGGATGCGATTTCCATTAGTGATTAAACTCATTCATTTAGTTACTTCATTTATTTACAAATCTCACTGGTAAATTTAGGTAAGCAGCAATAGCAGCAAAAACTGCAGAAATTGATGCCATTCTTAGGAAGCCAGCAAAAAAAAGGAGCAATTATTGATCAAGCAATGTGATAAGGAAATACATATTTGATGATAAAGAGGTTTTTAAAATTAAGAACTTTTTTAGAAGATGTAGATAACCCTAATGTTTCACTAACAGAAAGATTGTAGAATGATCGTGCAGAATTGGAAACTTTTCTTTCTATACCGTATATAGCCACCAAAAAAGGCTGCAATCTGAAGAATTAATTGACAGGAGGTGAGAATGGAAGAATGGGATGTTTGTTCTTTCTGAAATGGAGGGTTTATTGCAGAATGAATCATTTCTTCAATGAAGAAAAGAGAAACTAGTTTGCTAGACAATGAGATCCCTCTGGGTTCAATATACGTAGAACCGAAACACCGAATTTTCTTGGATGACGAACAAATTAAAAAGGCAAAGAAAGCCATCTATGAACTTTCATTAAGAATAAAATTATTCTCAGAACAATTGGAGAATTTGAATCAGGACAGTCAAACTGCAGACATTGCAATTGAGTCTCAATCATACTCATCCAGTGATGAATTAGATTTGAGAAATAGTTTTGGATAATATTGAAAAGGCTAAGGCAAAGCAAATGAAAATAAAGAAGCAACAGCCTTTAGAAATAAAAATGAAAAATACAAACAAGATTTCTACACGGCCTTTGAAGAAATAGAAAAATATGACTGCGCTTGCAAGACACCTCTTTTAGAACTTATAAAAATCTATCCTGTAAAGTTAAGAGAAGTAGCCCTAACAGTAACAGCTCTTCCTCCAACTCAAATTAGTGTGGAAATTTCTCAGCTTTGAAGTTTATCAAATCGGATCTATGGGCCTCTAACAAAAATCATGCCGAAGTTACACTCTTTCTTAGAAATAACTAATGCCAGTTTTTCCATTTCATAATAAATGCTAATTAATATAAGTAATTTGCTGTGCCATCAATTTTTTTCTGTAGCATCGAATACTTCTTTTATATTAAAAAAATAAAGCTGTAACCCATGTGTATATGTTTACATGTATGTACATGAGGGAGTCAGAGTCGAGGTCTTTAAAATTCCAGGAGTCTGTCATTTTCCCTATTGACTCCACAGCCCTGCTGCATACAGGTCCAACTATCAGTGTTCAGCGATCTTATCTGCTCAGTTGTTGGTGGGCTTATATTCAGAAGTGAATGCCATCTTTATATTCTTTCTGTTCTATTATTGCAATTTATATGATTATTTATATATTTCATTATTATATTCTATCATCTAAATTCCATTATTATCTACTATATATCTTCATCTTTATATTTTCTTAGCACCTAGATCTACAGATATATGATGAATCTCATTATGAAAGCAGACATGATGAGCAATTTCTATGAGCATGTTCTGTTAATAAAATATTTTCTGAAATATCTCCTCTCATTCTTGTGTTGATTCTTTAAATATGGCAGTGGAAAACTACCCTTTAACTTCTCACCGCTCATATTCTGACCATTCATTCTATGACGAATACTGCTCGTACAGCTGCCCTCTAAGTTTTACCCTCTTGTTGAGATTCACCCTGTGTTTATATTCATATTCGGCTCTACTCTTATATGTGCCCTAATTTCACCAAATGTGGCGATATGTGTTCTGCGCTGTTTTTGGTGCGATTGTGTGTCATATGGCAACCCTGTTGATGTTGAAAAATCTTTTGCTGGAGTGGTTTAATTGCTCGTTGGTTCGTGTCGTGCATGTTTTGAAATGGCCTATGTTGCAATGATAGATGTGGTGGCAAGATTTTAGTCATGTATTTTAGATTATGTGGAAAGTAAATTTAGTACTAAAAGGTATGATGATGGAGTTGTTAACGAGTCTTTTGTTCACGGATGTGTTCATGAGGATTGAAGTGTATTTTTGGAATTTCTGTGGGACTTTTAAAACGAAGTCCAAAATGCAGAGCTGCTATGAGAACTCGGACAAAAAAAGGGTATTTCTGATAGTTCTTTTGTGAATCTGAATTCAAATGGTTGCTCGTAAAGTATGTGGCTGTCAGCGGAATTTAAGATTTGGATTGTGGTTTTGGTGTAGTAAGTTAACTTTGGAGGAAGTTTTTATCATTACTTTCGAAATTTTGAATCTCAGAAAGACATGTGATATAGCAAAATTATGGCACTTTTGTTCAGAGACGTTGTGTGACTGGCGAAATTTTATTTAGGAATGTATTATGGTTTTTTTTTTTTTTTTTTTTTGTTATTGTTGTTTTTGAATTGTTTGTAATTTAGTTTTAGTTTATTTGATTAATTTGTGCGCAATGCCTAGATTGTGCAATTCGTAGATTTTTTTAAAGTTTAAAAGAATGCTGTATACATGGTATTCTTTGAAATTTATTGTTGTTATGTTAATTTATTGAAGTGAGGTGTGTGTAGTTCGTAGATTCCT